AAATTAGCTGGGCATGGTGGTGCACACTTGTCGTCCCAGCTACTCGGGAGGCTGAGGCAGGAGGATCCCCTAAGCCCACGATTTCAAGGCTGCAGTAAGCTATGATTGTACCAATGCACTCTAGCCCAGCCTGGGCAATAGAAGGAGACCTTGTCTCTCAAATTAATTAATTAATGAGACAGAGTCTTGCTCTTGTCACCCAGGCTGGAGTGCAATGGCGCAATCTCAGCTCACTGCAACCTCCACTTCCCAGGTTCAAGCAATTCTCCTGCCTCAGCCTCCTGAATAGCTGGGATTACAGTCACCCACTACCATGCCCAGCCAATTTTTAGTATTTTTAGTAAAGACACAGTTTCACCATTTTGGCCAGGCTGCTCTCGAACTCCTGGGCTCAGGTGATCCATCCGCCTCGGCCTTCCAAAGTGCTTGGGATTACAGGTATGAACCACCGTGCCTGGCCTAAAATTTATTTTAAAAGGCTGGCCGCTGGCCGGGCGCGGTGGCTCAAGCCTGTAATCCCAGCACTTTGGGAGGCCGAGACGGGTGGATCACGAGGTCAGGAGATCAACACCATCCTGGCTAACACGGTGAAACCGTCTCTACTAAAAAATACAAAAAACTAGCCGGTGAGGTGGGGGCGCCTGTAGTCCCAGCTAATGTAGTCCAGCTACTCGGGAGGTGGAGTCAGGAGAATGCGTAAACCGGGAGGTGGAGCTTGCAGTGAGCTGAGATCCGGCCACTGCACTCCAGCCTGGTGACAGAGCGAGACTCCGTCTCAAAAAAGAAAAAAAAAAAAAAGGCTGGGAGCAGTGGCTCATGCTGGGAGGCTGAGGCAGGCAGATTACCTGAGGCCAGGAGTTCAAGACCCGCCTGGCCAACATGGTGAAACCTCATTTCTACTAAAATACAAAAATTAGGCTAAAGCATGAGAATCGTTTGAACTCAAGACGTGGAGGTTGAAGTGAGCCAAGATTGTGCCACTGCACTCTAGCCTGTGCGACAAGGAAAGACTGTCTCAAAAAAATTTATTAAAAAAAAAAAGCATGGGAACATAGCATGATTGCTGGTATCAAGAGCCTACTAGAAGTTAATAATCATGAACTGAAAGTAAGATCAGTCAATAAGGCTATCTATTTTCCTCCAACCAGGTTCAGCTATTATTGGTATAGGCACAAAGTGGAGAACTGAACTTAACCAAAGTCAGTTTAGCAAAGCAAATAAAAAGGGAAAAGTAAGGCTAGGTATGGTGGCTCATACCTGTAAAACAAGCACATTGGAAGGCCAAGCTAAGCGGATTGCTTGAGCTCAGGAATTCAAGACCAACCTACGCAACATGGCCAAACCCTGTCTCTACTAAAAATACAAAAATTAGCCAGGCATGGTAGTGTGCACCTGTGGTCCCAGCTACTCAGGAGGCTGAGGCAGGAGGATCACTGGAGCCTGGGAAGTTGAGGCTGCAATGAGCCGTGATCATGCCACTGCACTCTAGCATGGGTACAGAGTGAGATCCTGTTTCAAAATAAATAAACAAACAAATAAATAAATAATAAAAACTTAAAGGGAAAAGCAAATTGAGGGTATGTGCCAGGGAGTGATTATAATCACTGACTCAGGAATTTAAGATTAGTAAGGAAGAAGTGAGGAATAGTAAAAAGACTGCAGAATCAACAAGTTATCCAGGTTTGAGTAGGACAGCAAAGGAGCTGAGAAGACAGCAGGCAGTGGTTGCAGAATGGGACCACTCACTGAAATGATAAAGAGTTGCAATGCTTGTCATAGCAGAGTATGACCATTGGGAGTGAGTGGCTGAAGTAGGGTGGACAACTGGAGGACAAGATTCTTGGAGGAGAGGAGGTCAAAGAATGGAAGGCCAGACATTGGAAGAATCATCTATATGTGGAAATAAGTAGGAACAACCTGGGGATTGTTAGATGACTAAAACAAGGAGGAGCAGTGGCTGGTAAAATATAATAATGTTAAGTTTTATTTTAATTTTTTTTTTTAAGATAGAATTTCACTCTGTCATCCAGGCTGGAGTATAGTGGAACGATCATAGCTCACTGCAGCACTGACCTTCCAGGCTCAAGCAATCTTCTTAACTCAGCCTCCTGAATAGCTAGGACTACATGTGTGCACCATCATGCCCAGCTAATTTTTTCAATTTTTTGAGAGATGGGGTCTTACTGTGTTGCCCGGCTGGTCTCAAACTTCTAGGCTCAAGCAATCCTCACACCTCAGCCTCTCAAAGTGCTTGGATTACAGGTGTGAGCCACTATGGCCAGCCATAATGCGAAGTTTTAAACTGAAGGTTTCAGGGACAAGGGAGAGAGAATGATCTGGAAGCAGCCAGGAGAATCAATAGACATTCACCCATTTCCCATCAGTGTTACAAGAAAGGTAGAAGAGGAAAGAGCCATTGTTTGAGAACCCTACAGGGCAAGCCAAGCTTCAGCTACAGCTGGAAAGTGAAAGCTGCACTGAGAGAACAGGGTGAGAATTTGGGGGATTTAGCTGAAGACTAACCAAGAGTTCCAGAGGGTAAAAGAAAGAATCCTTAGAGATAGCAAGGGTAAGTACTTAGGATCCATGCTACCTATGGGCATATGCTCACCTCAACTACTGCAAGTTACTAAACCTCTGCTTTGTTTCCAGTTTCCTCATCTGTAAATTGGGGATAATCATGGTATGGACCTCACTGAAAGTGTTTTTTTGAAGATTATATTCAACAATATAAGGCAGGTATTTAGAAAGTCCTTAAAACTGCACCTAGCACACAGTCTGCACTTAAAAAATGTAATGTAGGCCGGGCGTGGTGGCTCACGCCTGTAATCCCAGCACTTTGGGAGGCCGAGGCGGGCGGATCACGAGGTCAGGAGATCGAGACCATCCTGGCTAACACGGTGAAACCCCGTCTCTACTAAAATAGAAAAAAATTAGCCAGGTGTGGCGGCATGTGCCTGTAGTCCCAGCTACTCAGGAGGCTGAGGCAGGAGAATGGCATGATCCCGGGAGGCGGAGCTTGCAGTGAGCCGAGATCGCGCCACTGCACTCCAGCCAGGGGGACAGAGTGAGAGACTGAGAGGATACTTTACGTATGATTACAGGATTCCTGTATCATCCTACTGAATTATTTGAAAAATCTTTTATTTTCATTTAACATTTCAATCTTAAATCCTAAGATTACAAAATCTGAGGAGGAGGGATAATACCATGTACTTGTCTGAGTCTTCCACAAGGTTCAAGATTTGAACAATACTGGCAGAGGGCCAAGCAGCAATTCACAAACTAACACCAACTGTGACCTAGGGAGGAGGTATCACTATACTCTCCATCTCCCAGACCTATCCTACAGATGTCAAGGGATTTAACTAATCTTTTAGAGGAAAAAAAGGTACAGGGCAGAGATGAACAAAAATGGAAGATAATAGTTTACGGGTATCAAACTAACCTTAATACCTACTCTCAGGATATTGATTCTCTTACCATAACATATTCTTCAACCTCCTTTCAACAGATTTTTGTGTAGAATGATAACAAAAGCTTTCTGAAAACATAAATGAGCCGATTTTCTCAAAGACAAAGATTAAGGGATAGAAAAGCAATTCCTAGCACTATAATAGGTCAGATGACAATTTTAAATCAAGAAACCTTCCTAAAACAAGGAAATATGAAAGAACAATGTGATACATACCACTTGCCTAGCAGTTTTGAAACACATTAACATTCCACTGTACTACCAAATAAATTCCATATTTATCAAAAAGTCAAACACTTTAAGAAAAACTTTCATAAAATATATTTACCAGTTTTATGAAAAAAAGGGGAGCCTTCTCAGAAACAATCATTTAAAAAAAAAAAGATGTGCATATGCAATAAATATTTACTGAGTGCCTATGTGTCCAGCAGTGTTTGAGGTAACAGTCATATATTAACATCTCTAACTCAATTAAAAAAATAGCATAACCACCTAAGGAAATTTTGCATTAAAAAAACCTGGATAGAAAGTTTACCCAAACTTATTTTTAAACTAATATGGACTATACCAGAAAAAAGGGCAAAATATTACCAACCTAGTACCACATAAGAAAATACAAACAGATTTCCCATATTTGGAAAGTGTTCTTTTTTTTTTTTTTTTTTTGAGACGGAGTCTAGCTCTGTTGCCCAGGCTGGAGTGCAGTGGCGCGATCCTGGCTCACTGAAACCTCCGCCTCCCGGGTTCAAGTGATTCTCCTGCCTCAGCCTCCCAAGTAGCTGGGACTACAGGGACGCACTACTGCACCTGGCTAATTCTTTTGTATTTTTAGTAGACACAGGTTTCACCATGTTAGCCAGACTGGTCTCGAGCTCCTGACCTCGTGATCCGCCCGCCAAGACCTCCCAAAGTGCTGGGATAACAGGTGTGAGCCACTGCGCCTGGCCAGCATTCATTTTTTTTTAACATCCAAAAGAAATGCCATATAAAATGATGTGAAGTACTATTTTACATCTAAATTCCATGTTATTGAGATATTAGTGGAAAAAAGGCATGTACCGGGTGCCTTTCTCCCAGCAGCCTAATCTGTGAACTGTCTCTGGAAAATAAGACAGAAAAAGCCAAGGCAATGCTCAGTCTCTGACCAGAGAATGCCACTTCCAGCACCCAAACTGAGGAAATAATTCAAGTGGCTCAAAAAGGTATATGTAAGAGTTAATGGCGGCATAAGCCAGAATACCAGAAACAGGAATATGAAAAATCATTTTCTGAAGCTATAATTATAAACATGAAAAAATAGTAATGACATAAATGCAAAGAGACAAACTGTACCAATTATAGCAATATAAAATATGTACATACATACTCAGAACTTAAAAACAGAATAAAGAAACTATAGATGATTTTACTTTTAGATAATATTCTGTGATGGGAGCTTATCTTTTTATTCAACATATCTGTTTTTTCAATATATTCCTATCTTAAAACGGCATTTTAGTAGTATGTTATGAAATAGAACACATACCTGATACTCGTCTATTAAATCTGCTAGGAATTGGAACTGCAAAATAAAGAAGCAACATTTAGTCATTATTATGTCACCAGGCCCCATTTTTATCCTCCCTTTTTGCAAGTCTTTTACAATAGACCTAAGTCCCTCAAAACCAAGCAGTGGGCGATTTCATAGTCTTCCAAACTCAATCACAAATAGTTGTTCAATGTGATCATATTAAGACAATATAGGAAATACAATATTTCTTTGAAAACAAACTCTTTATACCTTCAATATACTCAATCTGGCAATTTTATTTCTGCTCACATCTACGTTCCATCTAATTTGTATCATTCCAATTGAATAAGAAGTCTACCAAATTTATTGATAATATTATGATATAAAATAGTGAAATTTTCTTTTTTTTTTTTGAGATGGAGTCTCACTCTGTCACCTGGGCTGGAGTGCGGTGGCAAAATCTTGGCTCACTGCAAGCTCCACCTCCCAGATTGATGCCATTCTATGGCCTCAGCCTCCCGCATAGCTGGGACTACAGGTGCCCGCCACCAGGCCCAGCTATTTTTTTTGTATTTTTTTAGTAGAGATGGGGTTTCACTGTGTTAGCCAGGATGGTGTCCATCTCCTGACCTCATGATCCACCCATCACGGCCTCCCAAAGTGCTGGGATTACAGGCGTGAGCCACTGCACCAGGCCCGAAATTTTCTTAATATCCTTTAGGCCAAGTGAGATGGTTCACACCTGTCATCCCAGTGCTTTGGGAGGCCAAGGTGAGCAGATCACTTAAGGTCAGGAGTTCAAGATCAGCCTGGCCAACATGGTGAAACCCCATCTCTATTAAAAATACAAAAAAACCCAGCCAGGCATGGTGGCACATGCCTGTAATCCCAGCTACTCAGAAGGCTGAGGCATGAGAATCACTTGAACCCAGGAGGCAGAGATTGCAGTGAGCTGAGATCCTGCCACCGCACTCCAGCCTTGGCGACGGAGGAAGACTCTGTCTCAATAAAAAAATAAATTAAAGTAATAAATAAATAAATAAATAAATAAAGTAATAAAGTTCTTTAAAGAGAATCCTCAGACCTGCTAGATAATAGCATTTATACTGCATTTTAAAATAACTTAGGCCAGGCGTGGTGGCTCATGTCTGTAATTCCAGCACTTTGGGAGGCCAAGGCAGGTGGAACACCCAAGGTCAGGAGTTCAAGACCAGCCTGGCCAACATGGTGAAACCCAGTCTCTACTAAAAATACAAAAATTAACCGGTGTGATGGTGCATGCCTGTAATCCCAGCTACTTGGGAGGCTGAATCAGGAGAATCGCTTGAACCCAGGTGACGGAGGTTGCAGTGAGCCAAGATTGCGCCACTGTACTCCAACCTGGGTGACAGAATGAGACTCCATCTAAAAAAAAATAAATAAATAAAAATAAACATAGGCCAGGCATGGTGGTTCACGCCTGTAATCCCAGAACTTTGGGAGGCCGAGGCAGAGAGATCACGAGGTCAGGAGATCAAGACCATCCTGGCTAACATGGTGAAACCTCATCTCTACTAAAAATACAAAAAATTAGATGGGTGTGGTGGCGGATGCCTGTAGTCCAGCTACTCAGGAGGCTGAGGCAGAATGGCGTGAACCCAGGAGATGGAGATTGCAGTGAGCCAAGATCGCATCACTGCACTCCAGCCTGGGCAATAGAGCAAGACTCTATCTCAAAATAAAATAAAGTAAAATAAAATAAAATAAAATAAAAATAAAAATAAAAGTAAATTAACTATTAAGTTATACCTCCCCCTGCCAATATGGGTGAGTTTTCACCTACCCATGGACAGTACATTAATCAGGAAAACGTACCACATGTCTTTATGTCAAAAAAAAAAACTCAAAAACTTTTTTTTTTTTGACCTTTCACTTATCATTTTATTTGTTACCTAAATTCTCACTAGTAAACCATATTATCTGCATAAGGTTTTTTCCTAACCTTCAAAGCTTAATCTGATTATTATTATTATTATTTTTTTTTGAGATAGAATCTCGCTGTGTCGCCCAGGCTGAGGTGCAGTGGCACAATCTTGGCTCACTGCAACCTCCATCTCCAGGTTCAAGCAATTCTCCTGTTTCAGCCTCCTGAGTAGCTGGGATTACAGGCGCCCACAACCATGCCCGGCTAATTTTAGTATTTTTAGTAAAGATGGGGTTTCTGTATTTTGGCCAGGCTGGTCTCGAACTCCTGACCTCAAGTGATCCACCCGCCTCGGGCTCCCAAAGTGCTGGGATCATGGGCATGAGCCATCACATCCGGCCAAGATTATTTTTATTTTTTAAAAAACATGTTAAGACTTCCTGCCCTTTAAGAAAGAGAAATACGAGTATCAGGTAAAAACAAACTGAAAATGGCTCAGGGAGACAAATAAAATTAATGTAAGGCCTCTGTAACAAAACTAGTCCCAGGAAGGAGGCAAATGCTCATTTATCATATGACTAGAATTATCTAAAACCAGTAGCCAATAATTTCCTTTGATCATTTGAAACACATGTGCCTGGACGGGCCTTGTGCCTCACGCGTGTAATGCCAGCACTTTGGGAGGCTGAGGCAGGAGGATCGCTTGAGCCCAGGAGTTTGAGACCAGCCCGGGCAATACAACGAAATCCCATCTCTACCAAAAACAAACAAACAAACAAAAAATTAGCTGGGAATTGTGCCATGGGCCTGTAGTTCCAGTTATTCAGGGGGCTAAGGTGAGAGGATCTCCTAAGCCCAGGGAGGCAGAGGCTGCAGTGAGCCGTGATCACACAACCACACTCCAGCCTGTCACTCAGGTAGACAGATCATATACCACTTTAGGTCCTCAACCCAGATATTGTGAGATTTCTATAATTAAAGCCCCAGTGAACATGACTACACTACCTAAAATTATAAAACACACAATGGAACAATTTAGCATGGGTGCTCTAAGGGAATATCTCAAAGGGTTAGAGATCATGATTACAGAACTATTATAAAATAAGAGCAGTATATTTAAAACAAAGACATAAAAAAGAAGCAAAAAAATTTTAAAAAATGAAAAAGGAAGCAAAAGCATAAAGAAAAATTAAGATATGATTAAAAATGACCAGGGATAGGAGGACTGCTTGAGGCCTGAAGCTCGAGGCTAACCTGGGCAGCATGGAGAAACCTTGTCTCTACAAAAAATACAAAAATAAGCCAGACACGGTGGCATAAGCCTACTGTCCCAGCTACTCGGGAGAGAGAATCACATGAGCCCAGAGAGGTCAAGGTTGCAATAAGCTGTCATCACGCCACTGCACTCCACTCCAGCTTGGGTCACACAGTGAGACTTTGTCTCAAAAAACAAACAAAAATTTAAAATAAAATTTAAAAAAACAGGGAGACTTGGAAAAAATTGAACTTCTATGGAAAAAAGCAGTCATTGAAATTAAAAACTGGCCGGGCGCGGTGGCTCAAGCCTGTAATCCCAGCACTTTGGGAGGCTGAGGCGGGAGACATCCTGCTAACATGTGAAACCCGTCTCTACTAAAAATACAAAACAACTAGCCGGACGGTGCGGCCGCCTGTATGTCCCAAGCTACTCGAGGAGGCTGAGGCAGGAGAATGGCGTGAACCTGGAGGCGCGAGCTTGCAGTGAGCGAGATCGCGCCCACTGCACTCCAGTCTGGTGACACAGCGTCAAAAAAAAAAAAAAAAAAAAAAAGAAATTAAAAACTGTAGTGCCAGGCACTCTCTCTCAGAACATAACATCTTAAAATGCTGGAAAAATAATTGTAAAATATCATGACCAATAACCTATCACAACAATATTAATTTACATATACATATAAATTAAAAGGGAAATTAGAAAATACCTTGAAACAAAAACAAAAACAACATAACAAAATTTAGGGGATGCACCAGAAGCAGTGCTAAGAGTGAAATATATGGTTACGAATACCTACAATTAAAAAAAGAAGTATTTCTTCTCTTTTTGAGACAGAGTCTTGCTCTGTTGCCCAGTCTGGAGTGCAGTGGTGTGATCTCGGCTCACTGTAACCTTTGCCTCCCGGGTTTAAGCAATTCTCTTGCCTCAGCCTCCTATGTAGCTGGGATTACAGGCATGTGCCACCACGCTTGACTAATTTTTGTATTTTTAGTAGAGACAAGAGTTCACCATGTTGGCCAGGCTGGTCTCAAACTCCTGACCTGAAGTGATCTGCCCACCTCGGCCTCCCAAAGTGCAGAAATTACAGCGTGAGCCATGGTGCCCGTCCTGCAACTATTACTATTATTATTATTATTATTATTGTTTGTTTTGAGACAGAGTTCTGTTCTTGTTTCCCAGGCTGGAGTGCAATGGCACAATCTTGGCTCACTGCAGCCTCCACTGGGTTCAAGCAATTCTGCCTCAGCCTCCCGAGTAGCTAGGATTACAGGCACCTGCCACTAGGCCTGGCTAATTTTTTTTTGTATTTTTAGTAGAAATGGGGTTTCGACATGTTGGCTATGTCGAACTCCTGGCCTCAGATGATCCACTCACCTTGGCCTCACAAAGTGCTAGGATTACAGGCGTGAGCCACCATGCCCGGCCTGATTTTTGTATTTTTAGTAGAGAGGGGACTTCACCATGTTAGCCAGACTGGTCTCAAATTACTGACCTCAAGTGATCCGCCCACCTAGGCATCCTAAAGTGTTGGGATTACAGGCGTGAGCCACTGCACCTGGCCTTATATTGTTCTTCTGTATTAATTCTTTCATCTCTGAATTTAAAAAAATAAAAAAAAGCTCAATATTGGTTGGTGCCTAATACACATTCATTCATTCAAAAAATAGTTACTGAGCCTTCCCATAACTGGCACTGTGCTATCCAGCAAGGAAATAAAGATGATTTAATATGGTCCCTTGTCTACAAAGACCTTTTAGGATCTAGTGGAAAAATCAACAACAAAAAAATCATAATAGTGTGAAATATACTACAACAATGGCAAGTACAGAGTGCTCTGTGAGAGAGAGAGGAGATAGGTCCTGGGTCCAGAAACCATAAGGTCTAACTACAGTT